CCCCAAAACCCCAAAACCCCAAAACCCCAAAACCCCAAAACCCCTGCAGCCAAAAATGTATTTGAATTCTAAAATATTTAATTTTTCTATTGACAATAAGAATATGGAGACAATTGATCAAAGCCAAGCTAAATTTGAAGTATCTAGCAAAAATAAACGAGAATGGCTTAAGAAAAAGATTGACCAGGATCATCTGGAGTAAGAATTTGTATTGCTGTTGGTTTTAAACTATTCAAGCAAAGAAATTCTGTTCAACAGCATTGCTAAAATTATGGTTCTAATATTTGGAACTTTCTGAAAATTCATGTCTTGTGTTAGTTTGATAATAGCATAAGATTAAATCATCTAATATACCTATAATTTTTGTATTAAACTGTTAATATTCTCCTTATTTTTAAGGTTTCGTTTTCAGTGAATTTTAACAAAAAATGAGGTAAACATTTCCGGTCATAATAGTTAGTAAGATGACTCATTTTTTTATAGGTATGTTCGAAAGCTTGAAACAGATATAATGAATTACTCTTATAAATTGAATGAATTAGAAGAAGAGCTTGAGAAGAATCCACCAAAGTTAAAGTCCAAGGAAAAGGAGAAAGAGAAATAAACTTGCTCTATTTAGATTTAAGATTGATCAAGCTCGAGCAAGAATCTCAAACTCTAAAGAAATGAAAGAGTCTATGGATCAGACTGAAGATGACTTCTTTTGTCATTCAGATTTCAGCAAATTTTACGGGAGCAAGGCCAAGATAAATAATCAAATGTGAGAGGTTAAGACTAGCAATGGAGATACTTACTATATTGAAGAGTTTTTACTTCAGTTACTTTATGATCACCAAATTGATGGCCTTCATTGGCTTCTTGAGCAGCATTCTTCAAACAGAGGGTCTTTACTCGGAGATGAAATGGGTTTAGGAAAAACTATTACTTCGCTCTCCTTGCTTAGCTGTTTAAAGGCAACTCAAATGAACTCAGATCGTATAACATTTGGGATAAATCTCTTAGTCTGCCCTGCTACCCTTCAAGATCAATGGAAAGAAGAAGCAAAACTATGGGCAACTAATATAGATACTTATATCTTCTCTCAGGATATCAGGACAAAAGCATCACTCTCTAATATCTTCAAATAAATACAAAAAGGACGGATGAGTGATAATTATCACATATGAGACATTGAGGAATTATAGAAAATGGTTCGACAAAGAGGAAATATATTATGCCATACTTGATGAAGGCCACAAGATAAAGAACCCTAAGGCTAAAGTTACTCAAGAGATCAAGAAATTGTCTATTAAAAACAGACTAATTCTGACAGGAACACCAATTCAAAATACTATTGATGAACTTTGGTGTCTTATTGACTTCATTCAGCCAGGGAAACTATCCAAACTTGAAATTTTTAGAGATGAATATTGATCGCATATACTAAAAGCTGGAAGCGTAAACGCAACATCTATTGAGATAGCCATGGCTAAAGAATGCACTCATAGACTGAGAGTTTTAATTAGGCCTCATATTTTGAGAAGAACCAAGGCGATGCTTACTAAAGCATGAAATCTGCAGTCAAAGAATGAATATATTGTTTTCTGAAATCCTACTATTCCCCAAATATTGATCACAATGAAGCTGAGGAATAAAGTAGTTACTCAGATTAGAAATAGCGAGAATCATGAGATTCAAGCAGACGATCTTATGTTGATCTCAAAAGGTAATCTTCCTCTAATCTTTAGCTAGGAAAATCTGAAATCATCCATATCTTGTGTTCTGGGATGAAGGAACTCAAGACCTTCTTTACGGAGTAGGTGATGAATCTGGAAGTGAAATTCACAACAAAGATGATTTGATGCAACTAATTTTTGATCAAAGAGACAAGAGTGGCAAAATCAATATTGCTGAAAAGTTGCTAGATGAATGGTACTCTAAAGAAAAAACAAAAGTTTTAATTTTCAGTCAGACTAAGATCATTCTTGATATCCTTGGGAAGGTCATTGAGTCAAAAGGAATAAAGCACAAAGTAAGCCTCTGAATTCTAAAAATATAGAGAATTGATGGAAATACGAATGTCTCCAAAAGGATGGAAATTATTAAGCAGTTTTCAGAAGATGAAGACTGATTTGCCATGCTTCTTACAACTAGAGTTGGAGGACTCGGGCTAAATCTAACTGCAGCAAACAAGATTATCATCTTTGACCCTGATTGGAATCCTATGGTAGATATGCAAGCTAGTGATAGAGCAGCAAGAATTGGGCAAAAGCAAGATGTAACTGTGTATAGATTGGTCTGTAGTGACACAGTTGAAGAATTTATATATCAAAAACAAATTTTCAAACAGTTTATGGCCGATAAAATTCTGAATAATCCTGGGGCAAAGAGAATATTCAAAGAAAAAATTTTCATAGAATACTTACTTGCAGTCCCAAAAACATGGCAGAAGCTCTATAAAGATATGGGATTGGATATCTATTCAAAAGACGAGAGGAACGAGGAAGAAGCAAAAACAGTTAAGGCTCTATCTGAACAAGTCCTATTTAACTTTGGAGAAATAAAGAAAATTTGAATGAAAGAGTCGATGAAGAAGAGAGATAAGAAAAACATGGATAAAATGTTCACAAAGTAATCCTTTTTAATAACTTTTAGGCATCAGAGAAAGATGATTCAGGTAGACAAAGAGATACTTAAATAAAGATAAGAAATTTAAGAAATTCTACAATGGAGTACTTAATGACATTAAGACGCTTGATAGCAAAGAGAAGGGAGAAGAGTCTAAAGAACATGAGTTTGTAAAGCAACTTCTTACAAGAGACGAAGATGCCAAAGAGGTTAATAATGATAATCTTACTATTGATGAAAGATTGCAGCTTATGAGACTCAAAAATAAGACAATGGAACATCTCAGTAAAGATAAAAATCTTGGTGAAAATACAATGAAATTAGAGTCTTCATTAGCTTTCACTGAAGATGAGATATCAGAAAGAATTGAAGTTGCCGAGAAAGAACTACTACAGTTATTTAATTCAAAATCTGAACAAGAAGGTGAAGCCTCAGTTTCAGATAGCGATATGAAAGAGAATTTTAAAATTTACCTCCAAAGTCCATACTTCAGAAAGCCATTTGAGAATATGCTTTTTGAGAATTGTAGCCTTACTGATGAGAAGACATGGAGATTAAAATAATTTCTTCTAAGATTGTTCATTTCAATACCTACCATATACTTGGGGTTTTGGGGTTTTGGGGTTTTGGGGTTTTGGGG